CTTTTTTTTTTGGGGGGGGGGTCCGCATGCAAGTAGGAAAAGCCTAACCTGTACTCCACAAACCCTAGATTCGAAAAGGATAGATTAGAAACTACCGAAAATGTTATAAAGTGTTTGGGGTTTTTTATCATATAAATGAGGGGTTTTTTCCCGTCAATTACCAAAAATAAACAAGACAGAGAATTTGCTAACTGTGCATTTTTCAAAAGACTGCATTTAATATCAATCTTAATAATAATGTGCCTTTCAGATGTTCTGATCATTTAAAGTTGAAATAAAGCATTGTCCAAATGTCCTGTCAGTTACCGTGGAATAGCCCTATAGTAAGCCTAACTGGTGCTTACACCAACCGTTAGTTATGTCACGATAGACACTAGAAGGTTACATGCAAGAAAATAGTGTATTGTACACTTTGACACTTTCTTTAACAAGTAAGCATTTGATTGACCCTCGTGAGTCAAATGTCTTGTATAATACGTTTTAAGGTCATATCTTTAGTTATAGTTAGAGTTTTATTGCATTTGTAGGTCACATCATACACTCTTAAAACACGTTATCAAGATCCAGACAAGATACATAATAAAAGATTTGAAAGGAACAATTTAGACCGAATTCTGATTCAAATTTCAAGGGTTCAACATTTACGTGAACGACAGCGCCACTTCAGTCGAGGAAACTGATGTAGATTCTACGTTCTGAAACGAGCTAATGAGTACATTGCACCATTGCATGGGGCTTTTGTTTGTTTGTTTGTTTTGCTTTTTATTTTTAGTTTCATTTCTTTCTTTCATTTCACCCCCACAGAAACTGATAGATTCCCTCAAAGCCCAGAATCAGATACAACGTCCAAATGCCACACAAGTACAAGGTCAGCAAATCCCGGCTTGTCCAACCTTCTTCGCTGACCCCGCCCTACAGATCCTCACACAGGGGTTCTCCAACATGGACAACTTCAAGAACGTCGAGTTGGCGCCATTTCTGGAAGTCAGATACCCAGGTTCACCCGGAAACATTCGGGTTCGAGAGGTGAGTTCGGACATATTAAATTACGGCGGTGAGTAACATGACAATTCGTAAATAGTATCACGAGAAATGATTATGAAAAAAAACTAGAGGAAGAAGGGATTGTTTTTCTTTATTGTGATTTTTTTTTCGTCGTCCTTGGAATTATTCAGTTGTCAATGCAAAGTGCGCTGAATAAGCCTTTACTGTTTCCATGAAAGAAGCTAGCTAGAAAGTTGAAATTTAACCCTCGCAATGCCACTTCTCTACATAGTCACCCTGCAAATTGCTATAATACTTTTGTCATCTTTATTTGATCTTCAAAGAATCCTTAAGATGACCACGGATGGGACTCACACCAATGCTCCACTGCAGATGTAGCATCGTCATCACTCTGAAAACGCTGTCGCTTGAGAGCGGTTGTTTTTTTGTTTGTTTGTTGTTGTTTTTTTAGGGGGGGGTTGAAAAAAGAAAAGTTAGAGCATACTGTGTGTGATGAATAATTATGGTGGGTGTTGGAGAATTTTGTAGCCACACTGCAATACCATCTGAGCTGCCATGACTACTCTGTGCACTGAAGCATTGTCTTGCATCAGGAAACGTTTTATTTTTGGTATTCAAGAAACAAGTTCTCTAGAAATGCCGTCAAGCTCTATTCGTCAATAAGATTTTTCAAAAACATTCCACGTGCGCCGCTCTAGAAAACCAAGAAATCACTTCTTTAATTAAATCATGGTATGGAAATTCCTTTATAGTTAGGGTAAAGACTTATTTGAACGCCCTCTTTTGTTGGTATGATCAGGACATTTTTTTACATCAGGCAACATACTGGTACCGAATAGCATCTAAACATCTAAGATTCTTTTAGAAATACAGTATACATATACAGTTGAACCAGTTCAATTCAAGCACATTGTCGATGAGAAAAATGGTCATCTTGGATAGGTGATCCTCGAGTCTTGGACAGTATCATTATTAAATGCATTTACTGAAACAACACAAAAAAGGGGGGGGGGGGAATTCGAAGTGGTTGTTTGCACATGCGATTGTCTTGGACTATTAATGAAAGTTATGATCCATCCATCCATCCATCCATGCATCCATCCATCCATCCATCCATCCATCCATCTATCCATCTTTCCATCCATCCTTCCATCCATCCATCCATCCATCCATCCACCCGTAACCAATCTCCATTCCAGTACATCAAGGCTCAGTTCCTCGCCTTCGGATGGCAGGTGGCAGAAGACCCTTTCGTTGCTTTGACACCGTTTGGACCTGCTCCTTTCGTCAATGTCATCGCCACAATCAACCCCAACGCCCCCCTGCGCCTCATCTTTGCCTGTCACTTCGACTCTAAGCTCAGCCCACCGGGTTTTGTCGGAGCGATGGACTCGGCGGTGCCGTGCGCTCTTCTCGTTAACCTTGCCCGGCAGCTCACCATCATTCTGAATTCTCTGGAATCTGTGAGTTATCTGTCTTTGTTCTCTTTCATTTTGTTTTCCTTGATCTTGTTTTACTGCTTGTTCTTATTCATATTCTGTTTGTTATTGTTGTTGTTGTTTTCTTTGTTGTTGTTGTTGTTGATGTTGTTGTTGTTGTTGTTGTTGTTGTTGTTGTTGTTCTTCTTCTTCTTCTTCTTCTTCTTCTTCTTCTTCTTCTTCTTCTTCTTCTTCTGCCTCCTCCTCCTCCTCCTGCTTTGCATTCGTGTTTCCACAATCCCTTTCGCTTTTACAACAACTATCACCGTTACTGCTGCTGTTGTTGTTGTTGCTGTTGCTGCTGCTACTACTGCTTCTTCTTCTACCACTACTTCTTCTACTACTACTACTACTTCTATTGTTATTATGATTTATATAATAGGCTACAAGATAGCAAAGGCTATAGAATGATGATTTTTCATCACCATCATCATCATCATCATCATCATCATCATCATTGTAGGTAGCAGGGAATAAAAAAAGGGTTTGAGACTTAGTAGATTTTTCATCCTCATCATCATCATCATCATCATCATCATCATCATTATCATCATCATCATCATCATCATCATCATCAAAGACCCACCATGTAGAACTAAGTACCAGCACCTGGAAGATGTGTATTCTGGGTACTCCTGTAAGCGGGAACAAAAGTCTATCACATTTCGCTGGGACCAGGTTGAGCTGGCGAGACTGTGGTCGGACCATCATTGGAGTTTAAGATGGTATAAAAACTTTGTAAATGAAGAGCTCAGCCCATGTTGCCGAAGATGCGGCCATGAAAAGGAATATGTCAAACATATGTTTGAATGTCCAGGAACAATGGCAATTCGAATGGAGTTATTTGGACGGGTGGAGGTGCCGCTAAGCATATTGACAATGGAGCCGAAAAAGAGCCTCGCTCTCGCTCGAAGATTTCTTCGTGGAGTCCGTCAGGCCCATTAAGGAAAAAAAAATCATCATCATCATCATCATCATCATCATCATCATCATCATCATCATCATCATGAAATTGTCGTATCGTTTGATACCCCAACACATGTACACGTAGATCTGAACATTTTGCACTAATATATGGGTAATCCTCTGTTAAACCTGGCAGGATGTGACCATCGAAATGATCTTCTTTGACGGAGAGGAGGCACTGTACTTGTTCAACGAACAAGACTCACTCTACGGTTCTCGACACCTGGCAGAAGTTTGGTTCAACACGCTGGACAGATTCGACAATACCAAGAATAAATTGCAGAACATTGTGAGTGTTCATTCCTGTTGTGGCAACTTATCATGCAGCGTCCTTAGAAGAAGAAGAAGAAGAAGAAGAAGAAGAAGAAGAAGAAGAAGAAGAAGAAGAAGAAGAAGAAGAAGAAGA